ATTTTGAGCAAAACACTTCATAGACATGTTTTTTATATATTTGTATATATCTGAAACCTATGCTACTGCCTAAAAATAGCATGATAGGTGACCTTTAAAAAGCTTAGGAAGAGAAGTACTGTATACATCTTATATTGTTTAATATTCAATCAATCAAAGCATTCAATCAAAAATAATGAGTATTAATCCCAATGGGAAATGATGTTTCTTGACAGTTGCACCTTATTAGATCTAATAACTATTTATATACACAAAGCAAAAATGTGCAATTAGTCACTGGGACACAGCTTCTTCGGCACAGGAACACATTTATATTCCTTTTAAAGCTGAATTAGACCATAACATACAATAATTACTGCTTCTACTTTTTCTGTTTCAACTTTAAAAATACCCTCTTTATTGTCCTAAGCATCTTGTTTTTGACAAAAGATGGAAACAAGCAGAGTCATTCTGTGTCATCCGGTCTGAAGAGCTTAAAGTGAGGCACAGACGTCCGGGGGGAAGGGAAACAGTATGCTTGTTATTGTAATTTTTTTTGTCATATTCGGCTAAGATGGTCCCAGTGAAAGCTCAGATTTACCGGGCTGCAGCTGCTCTGTGGATCTCAGCGTGACGATGTTTGATGCTTGTGTTGCAGATCGAGGAGAGCTCTTTGTTTGGGGGAAGAATGTGAGAGGATGTTTGGGCATCGGGAAGAGAGACGACCAGTTCTTCCCGTGGAGAGTAAGACAACACTGATCAGTCATGCAAACAAAAAAGAGGCAACCATGCAGCTGAAGCACATAATGCACACGCTGTACAGAATGCATTTCACTAGTTTCTCCATATCTGGGAACAAATGTGTTAAGATTAGATAATAAAAAGCAGATTCTTATCATCCTAAGTCCTTTTGAAAGGCTTGTAATGAAGGCATGTGAACACAATGTTTAAAAAGACACTATATTTGGTAATAGTCTTTTTGATTCTTTATCAAAAAGAAAAATGTTCTGGGTAGAATGTGCGGAAAGCGTCTAAAGATCTCACCAACGAAATGATTTGTGATATAATTCTCGCTATTAGCAACTCAACTCAAGACATTTGATCAGGATTGGAGTGTTTACTGATGATGCACAGGGTGGTCCTTGGGTCGGTTGGGTCAGATTACTGTGAAATATATGCAGTTACTGAATTTGACAACTTTTGTAATTGGTAACACAATGCATCTTATTTTATCTAGATACTCAAATAAATAATTAAATAATAATTAAAATATACAAAAATTTGACAACTTTTGTAATTGGTAACACAATGCATCTTATTTTATCTAGATACTCTAATTAAATAATAATTAAAATATACAAAAGAATACCTCCAAACCTTTTTAAAATGCATAATCAGCATTAACAGTTGCTCAAATGATAGAAATGCATGGGTTTTAATGGTAAGCAACCTTAAACAGTAGGATGACATGTGGAATTAGTGGACAATAGTCTTTAATCTGTTTTTGTATAAGATCCACACACATATTAAGTAATCAAAATTAAATCTATTTGCAACTTGCACAAAGATGAAGGTTAAAAAAACAATAAACTTAACCAAATAAAAGAAAATGTAGGATTTTACTCAAACTTCGTCCCCTTTTTTTTAAACTGTTTTTGTGTGATTTCCATCAGGTGACTGTACCTGGTCAGGTGGTGGACGTAGTGTGTGGTGTTGATCACATGGTGGCGCTGGTGAAGTCCCTCCTGTGAGCTCCTGGATGAAAGGTTTGGATTTTTGACCCCCCGCGGGGCCCCTCAGGGAGCCGATCGGGGGCCACGCTGGAGTCTTGAAGCCAGCTGCTCTCCACAGGCGACGAACCCTCGTGTCCCCGTGACGTCAAACGAGTTCACGGCGGTCGATTCTGCAGCAAACTGTCACCGACACGACTCTCTTTACCCTGCATGAAGGTCATCTGGGAAACGCTTCAAAGGAGAGTTTTGTTTTATTTCAACTGGAGCTGAAACGATGAATCGATTCAGCCAAGCAAAACAGAGAAAGAATGTGAACAATTCTGCCATAACAGCATGTGAGGATTCACTGCTTTTTCTCTGTGTTGTGTGATTGTAAACTGAACATCTTAAGGTTGATTCGACAAAGCAAGACCTTTGAAGGAGACTGGGATTGGAATTGTTCTGTATTTTCTGACATTTTATTGATTTAACGATGCAACTTGACTTATGTTGTGCCGTTCTCCCAGTCTGGATGTTTCAGAAAATGAACCCACTATTCGTGATAGTTTGCCATTAAAAAAACAACAATGCAGAAAATATCCATCCATCCATCCATCCATCTTCTCCCGCTTATCCGTGGTCGGGTCGCGGGGGTAGCAGTTTCAGCGGAGAGCCCCAAACTTTCCTTGCAATGCAGAAAATATGCTATATCAAAAATAAATATGTTGTTTTTTTACCAGCATCAATTTTGCTTTAATAAATGGTGAAGCAGAATCACAACTGCCCTTTTTCCTATTTTCTGTACAGGCATTTTTGACAGATCTGAAGCTGATCGACATGGTAACCTTGACATGTAGTGATTTTAACAACGGACATAAAGTGTTAAATGTTGTTTTCCCAGTCTGGATGTTCCAGAAAATGAACCCACTTTTCCTACAGTGATGGTTTGCCATACAATATGCAATGGAGAAATCCCATTGCTATGCTATATCAAAAATAAATGTGTCTAGACTCTAGTTTGTTTACCATCCTCCATTTAGCTTTTTAATAAACACTGAATTAGTATCCTTTCCCCAATTTCTGTACAGGCATTTGGGACAGATGTGAAGCTGATATAGATGGTAACCTTGTCTATAATGTAGTGACAGTATCAGATGAAGGATGTTTCTTACAGTACAGTGAGTGTGTCTGCAGGCGCTGATGTTGTTGCAGGACCCTCCCCACTGAGCATGTTTTGTGGGGCCATTAATCATTGTGACAACTGGAGGGCCCCTCAGAGAGCACGGAAATGTATTTATCACACAACTACTGAGTGAGCATAATACATAAAGTACACTTTTGATCAATGTGTGAAACTGGATCAGATAAAGCATGGGACAGTTATAAAAACAAAAGTACAATTTTCCCCCTGCTGTTTTGTAGGCACTTGCTAGAGATTTTTGGCAAACATGTTAACTTGGTGGTACAAATATCTTGGATGGACAGTCATACTTTTGTATAGATGGGTATGTAGGCAAAGGAAACATTAGTAGCTGACACTAAGTTAAGAATCAGACGGTTGATAATAAGATTGTCTTAATTTGAGGTAGATAAGCTATCCAACTGCATCTGGGATCTGGGTAAGCCTGTGGTAAGAGTGTAGTTGTCATGGCAACATCTGTTAGAATGTCCGTTAGCTAACTGTTTATCCATCGCTATAAGCTATAACGTTTTGTTGCTAACTTTTAGCTCACTATTTCAACAGCTAATGACCTTTTAGTTAGCTTTTTCTACTGCTAATCCATTGGTTTAAGCTGACCTTTTCAACAGTTTGTTGCTAACCTTTAGCTAACGAATAGCACCGTTTGTCGCTAATTTGGAGCTACTATTTTTTTTAAATCATTACTTTTAGCTCACTATTTCAACTGTGACTTTTTGCTAGCCTTTTCTCCTGATATTCCATTGGTTTATGCTAACATTTTTAACAGTTTGTTCATAACATTTCGTTTTAAGTTTTACTCTTTGTCCGTTCAAGTATCTACAACTGTTTATCCCTTGCTTTTAGCTAACTTTTCCAAAAGTCAATCCATTACTTCCACAGCTTTGTTTTTCCATTACCTTAATTTAAGCTAATTAATTAAACTTTCTTCCCTACTTTGGAGATACAATTCACCTGTTTTAGCTAACTATTTGAATTGTGTATTTATTACCTCAAGTGATTTATGCTATTCAGCTAACATTCTTTATTATTTAAACTAATTATTCCTTATTCCAAGTAATTTTTTTTCACATATAGATTACGTTTGCTTGTTCAGTAATCTACTTAAGAATTAAGAAATAAATCATAATTGTGTCCTATTATATGAACAAATGTTGATAAACTGGTTAATTTGGCAGTTGAAAATAAAGCTAACTATTTTAAAACAGCAGCATATTCTAAAATAGGCAGAATATTGTATCCTTACTTGAGTACCATGAACATAGTGTATTGTGGGTCCTCTGCCGATTCCCATCCGATATATAAATGTATTTGCTTACATACGGCAGAACCATTAACTTGCTAGTCAGTGAGCCGTTAAGCTGTAGAAGATTATGTAAGAAGGAAGATAATCAAGATAAAGGAGAACACTAACATCCATCTCCTTTATCCCGGCTTTGCATAGTATTTCTGCAGCTGAACTCTCCACCTCCACCACCTCCACCTCCTCCTCCTCCTATGTGTGCGGAGGTGAGCTGAAGCAGAGAAAAAGATGGCGTGTGGAGGCTACAAGGAGCTGGCTGTTCTCTGCTTTGTTTACTTTGGTCAAATAATACAGACAGCTGATACACCTGCAGTCTCTCCTGCTGTTGTCCATGTGCTGCAAGCCGGAGTGGAGGAAGTGAATCACTGCAGTTCAGTGGGGGGGACGGCAACAGAAGGTCAGGTGTGTGCAGAAAAAGTGTGGTTTTTTTACGTAGAAGAATGATTACAATTACTTAACTACAGGTGTATATCTCTTGTGAATATCCAGAAAAAGGCAAATGGTCATTTAAGTGAGACTTAAAGAAATAAATGTCAAATACAATTTACTAATGAAAGCAATTAAACCAAAAACACTTCCTCGCTCAGTTCAATACTCAATACAGTTCAATACACTCAATGATATTTCGACTAGTAATTATTTGTATCCCCATGATCCTCATCAATCTGTAGTGTCTTATTTTTCAAATGTATGTGTCAAAGTTACAATTTGGATGACAAATAATAATTACTTAGCTATGGGTCATCTCGTGTGAATTTCCAGAAAAAGCCAAATGGGTAATTTAGTGACAATATATAGGTTTTTAAAGAATATATGTCAAATATGATTTACTAATGAAAGCAATACAACCAAAAAACACTTTGCTATAGGTTCAATATACCCGATGATGATATTTCAACTACAAATACTTGTATCTTACCGATAGTTTTTTTTGCATTAAATTAATAAATAAATGACAATAAGTCAATCAGTAAAGTATTATTTTTACAACTTTAAAGTCAAAATACTACGAAATTGGACAAAGAAATCAGATTTACAGTTAATTGCTGTGCTCTGAGGACCACATTGTGCAGAGATGTCACTGGTTCTGATTTAAAACACACACTGAGAGCAAATAACAGTGAGGGTACAATCCCCCGTTGTTAAGTAAAGACAGCAAAATAAAAAAAACGACACAATGGTGAAACCAGATCTCCAAAAAGAAAAAAAAAAGCTTGTTTATTTTTAAGTTTTTCACACAAGAAGCTCCAAAATGAAACGCTTTTAAACTTTCAAATGTAATCAGAAGAAATGTCCCCTTCTTCCTGTTTTTAACACTGATAAATACAGAGGTTCTGCTAAACGAATATGAGCAGAAGAAAGGTTTGTTGTTAGGTGCAAGGTTGTGTGAAATAAAAGGAAATAAAAACATTATCACTAAATGCTTAAGACCAACAGAAATCAGAACAGGGTCTTTCCTTACAGTAAATAGCCCTCCCCTGTTTTTTCACATCAGTACAGCAGGCCTGTGTTCATCGGCCTGCATTAAAGTGCAGACTGGGGGCAGGGGGGGGGGGTCGTGGGGGCAGCTTCATCGCCAACATTGGACACATCCATCATTTTTCCAACCAGTGTAGATTGAACTACGCCCACTTCTGCGCGACTGAGCAATGGATGTATGAAGAGAACGTAAGAAAAATGTAAAAAATAAAATAGGGAGGAACAAGTGACATGTGATGTGATGTAATATAAAAAATGAATGAAATAAAAGAAAAATAAAGAAGTAATTAAAACATAAAATAACAATAAAAGAAAGGAAAAGATGGCATTTTAACATGACTGAGGTATCCATTGTCAATTAGTATTAAAGGATTAATTAACATTTACTCTTCTTTCATACTTAAAAATCGCTATTTCCATCAATCTACTTTGAAAAAGATACTAGCTGTCATGTTCATATTTCGTTGGATGAAAACGCTTTCGTCTTGCAGAAGTGGGCGTAGTTGAGTATAAAGTGGGTTGGAAAAACGATGAGACGCCAACATGGAAACCAGGGCTCCTTCAATAGCTTATGTCGTTATTCTAGTAAAAAAGTGGCTCAGTAAATTATCACTACTGTAGATGCAACACATTTTGTATCATTGCACTTTATATCACCGCGGGGTCACACCGTGAGCAACACCATACGAGAGGTGTCTATACCAGGAAGAGTATCTTGAAATCATTAAATCGTCTTGAAAACTATGAAAGAATTTGAGAAAATGTTTTTGAAGGTAGACAAATAGATTTAGGTTATTGAAAGTGCTTGAATTTATATATTTTATGCAATAATAGAAATTGAAGTGGTTTTTCCAGCCCTATAGAGAAGGGGTCAAACATTCAAGGGTCTCTCTTTTGAACTGTTATCAGTGAACTTCTGGAAAGCCATCTCCTTCCTTCACATTATAAAATGTATTATTAATTAAGTAATCCGTGTCAACATAAAGTGTTGGGTCCTTGAATTTGAGGGAATTGGGCCTATATATTTGAAAACATTTAATTAAATACTGCAAATTAAACCAGAAAAGTCAAGTAAACATCAGGTTCCTTTTCTGTAGACTTTCAATGTCTCTAAAAAAGCGAAAAATTGCTTCTTTAGTTTTTCAACTCAAAAGCCGTTTAATTTCTCTGTGAATTAAATGTTCACCTTTTTAAATAAAAGTGTAATAAACACAACCGACTCTGAAGTCATTAATGCCTCATACATTGTGCTTTCAAGCCAAATAATATATAAAAAGTTGTGTTTTTTATTTAAATACGGGGATACAATCTGCTAATTTTGAGTGACACATCAACCAGGTTGCTCACAGTGTGACTGCACATTAAAAAAATGCTTAAATTATAATTTCCTCATCAAGGCCTTGGACTCACTTCATGCTCCAGCAAACCCAGAATTTAAATTTAAACAAGGGACTCCATCATTAAGATCTTCGCTGTAATTAAAAGCTACTAAAAGCAACAAAACACACCGTATTTCTAAACCAAGCGCTGTGTCATCGGTCAGAAAAATGTCTCCTACAATTGCACACATGTAAAATATTCTGACAAAGGCATCTGTTTAGGCATTCAAACATCATGGCACTGAGAGATGACCTTAGAAATATTGAGAGCTTTGATAGAAGATCAAATATTCCTTTTGCTTTTTTTGAGAGTACATTATTCGTCATTTTTCCACGAGAGTAACTAATACAGTATGGCGCTCATGAAGAAGCAGCTTCAGAGAGAGAGAAATGTTCAGTCTGGTAAACTAAAGGGAGTGTTTCCTGTGCCAGGAGGAGGGGGTTTAAAGAAAATGGCCGAGTACCAAAAGTCATCTCTAACACCTTCCCGTGCTTCCGGTTCCTTCCTTTTCGGAGCCGATCCACAGCAGATTAGCTCCGGGCACTTTATGGATAAACGTTTGAACGAAATGACTTGAAATCATTTTTTTTTTTTATTTTTTTTTTTAAACTTCCACTGTTTTCCTTCACTGTGCCGTGCTCTTGGTCCGCAGAGCTCCAATCACACTCTGGATGTTCTCTTCAGGAACCTGGAATACACACCAAGTTTATTGTTATGGTTTTGTGTCGAACAAATAGCCAAAATGATGTAGTTCATATGATATTTTAAAGCAAAAGGCATGAAATCAGAGAACTTTTGAAAAAGCTTCACTAGTTCTGCGTGAAAGATTAATGAATTATTTATCAAAATAGCAATCATACAGAATTTAAAGGTCACCTATCATGCTATTTTTAGGCAATAGCATAGGTCTCAGATATATAAAACACATGTTTATGAAGTGTTTTGCTCAAAATATCAAACAGATCACCCATTCTAGCCATGCCTCATATCCCTCTATTTCACTTCCTGTTTCAAAAGTGCTGTTTGGGGTATAAAGCTTTAAAAAAAAGAAAAGATTGATAACAAAAAAAAGGAGGGGTCTGAGCTCATGCGGGACCCGGCAGCTACTGTCTAAACTAAATACTGCCGTGATGAAACGTCATATCATGGATTATCAAGGATTCTCTCTGAAACAGTATGGAGCTCAAAGGCTTTCTCTCTTGCCGGTTATACCACAAGGTGAGTTCCTTTTTACTTCCTGCTTCTTCACACACATGATCTCCAGTACAGGTTAGCTCTGAGTGTTAGCGATGCTAATGTAAACACCGACCATATTACGTCCAAAACAGTCGGGCATTGTTTCTGATAGCAACGTTTCTGATAGGGCCGTGGGTCCACATTTCAGATATTACGTCATATCGGACGCAAATCTGGATCCGCTCCGTTGTTCCCCCGTTTTTAGAGATTTGGGTACGGAGGAAAAGAGAGAGGGATTTATTTTCTGACGCCGCGTGAGGTCCCCGACACACCGGGGACACATGTTGATGTAGAAAAGACATAGAAAAGTGCATTTTGCAGGATAGG